TCTCCGCTTCTCAAAAAAATGATCATTGAAAACTGAAGATTGTTAAATTGAAATTAGAATTTCCAGGATGATGTTGAGACAGTCTTTGTTCATTGCCTTTAAATTAACATGAAAAACAAGTGGATAAGTTTTCTTTGTGTCATTTAATTAGCTGATATATCACACAATGGTTTTTGTGGTTTGGTAAAGAAATTGACACACATTTATTTGTGAAACGAAACAAAAATTTTCTTTTTAAGTTGTGCTTTAGGAAGGCTATTAAAGTTCAGTTATCTTTGAGCACTAAGACTATGGATTATTAAACATTATTCTCATTTTCTTCTTACCTTCTTTCTATATTTTCCAAATTGTCCCTAATAGTCATAACTTATTCTTTTTAAAAAGAACCTGGGATTTTTATTTTAAAATTACATTAAAGTCAAATATTTAGGAGTCAGCACTGTGACATAGTGGGTAAAGCCACTGCTTGCAGTGCCAGCATCCCATGTGGGCGCCAGTTCAAGTCCTGGCTGCTGCACTTCCGATCCAGCTCTCTGCTTGGGCCTGGGAAGCAGGGGAGCCTAGGTCCTTGGGCTCTTGTACCCACATGGTAGACTGGAAGAAGCTCCTGGCTCCTGGCTTCAGATCGGCTCAGCTCTGGCCATTGCAGCCATCTGGGGAGTGAACAAGCAGATGGAAGACATTCTCTCTCTCTCTGTGTGTGTGTGTGTGTGTGTGTAGCTCTGCCTCTCAAATAAATAAATAAATCTTTAAAAAAAGAAGTCAAATGTTTATAGGGCCAGGTGTTTGGTACTGTGGTTAAGTTGCCTGCTTCCTATATCAGAGGACCTGATTTGAGTCCCACTTCCCTTCTGATTCCAGTTTCCTGTTAATATGCACCCTGGGAGGCAGTAGGTGATGGCTAAAGCACCTGGGGCCCTGCCACCCATGTGGGAGATCCAGACTGAGTTCTGCCCAAATCTGGCTGTCAAAGGCATCTCAGGAGTGAACCTGCAAATAGAAGATCTCTCTGCCTTTCAAATAAAAGGAAAAAAGAAATGAACACTGTGTACCTGACCTTTGTCAATCTGCTTGCATTTTCTTTATGACATCAATACTTTTCTTCCTCTCAATGACTGAGCCTTGCAGACGTTACTTACAAACTAGGCCTAAATGAAGTGTACTGTGATTGCAGCGGGCTCCACCTGTTTCCATCCAAAATGAAAAGCACACCCTGGCAAGCAACATTTAAAATGTTATTACCAAAATGACTGTGCAGGCTTTTCAACAGATTTCTACAGAACCACAGAGAAAGGTCAAAGCAAGGAGAAGCTAGCTGTTAGGAAAATGCCGAACTCTTATATCTTCTTTTAGCCCTAATCACATGGTATACACCAAATACTTTTAGGTTACACAGGGAAAGCTTGAAATTGCAAACTGTAACTATGGTGTGTGACACTGACAAAAGAAAGTTCTTCGTAACTATTGAGGTTTTTATGCAAAGGGGTTTGGACCTTTGGTTAGAGTTATTAAGTAAATACCACACGACACGTAAATTGTACAACTGCCAGTGCAGCATAATTATAGTTTGCTTTCAACCATCTAAAGCATGTAATGTTTTCTGGTTTCAACTTCTTAGCCTTTTAAATTATTTCTGACTCATTAGCTTTTCACCCTAGGGACAACTCACAAACTCCATAAAAGTGTGGATATTTTTCTCACATGTCTTTTCCAGCAAACACATTCCATTTGCTTTTTAGCTTCAAAGTATAAATTCCCACAATGAAAATAATAGGATTTGTTGTTCTTTTTTAACATTCTCCTTTTTTCTAAAAATGTCTTATTTATAATTAAAAGCACATAACTGTAGACCGATTTTTCATTACAACTAGAAACTCTAAGCTGAAGAGGTTAGTTCGAGCCAGGTGGTATAGACAATACAGTGTCCCAACCTTGGCCCAACTGACACTTCAGAGTGGATGCTTCTTTGTTGTGAGGGGCTTTCTCATGCACTGTTAAATGGTCAGCAATATTCCTGGCCTCTCTTCACCAGATGTCAGTAGCACAGAGCTCCAACTGCCCAGAAGTGACTACTAAAAATGTCTCCAGTCTGCCAAATATCCAGTAGGGGACAAAACTGTCCTCAGTTGAGAATCACTGTGTTAGGCCAAAGACCTTACAAAACCAAGCTGTTTATGCCTTAGCCAATTCAAACTGGGCCTTTGACAAATTTGTTCAATACCTACATAGCCATCACCTGCTACCATAAAATAGGAACACTCAAAAATACCCTTGCATTCTTTGTGTCCAAGCCTTGAACATTGTTATACTTTTTCCTCTGCCACGTGGGAAGTTTGGCTAAGAGGAAAGAAGCAGGCATTGGTACCTATTCCCACCATTTAGTAACATGGGTATTCATGCTTATTACTTTTAATGTACATATGTTCATAATGTCTTGACTTCCAAAGGGCCAAAATATCCCCAGATTCTTCTCTCTCTCTCTCTCTCTCTCTCTCTTTTTAATTATTTTCATTTAATTTGAGGCAGGGAGAGAGACAGATAACAGCCATTCAACAGCTAGGGCTGGGCCAGGCTGAAGCTGGGAGCTCCATATGGGTCTCCCACATGGATAGCAGGGACTCAAGTACTTGAGCCATCAACTGCTGTCTCCCAGGGTGCACATTAACAGGAAGCTGGATCTGAAGCAGAAGATTCAGGTTCAAATCATGCACTGCTATGTGGGACATGGGTGTCGCAAATGGTATCCTAACTACAGCACCAAATGCCCACTCCCTTCTCAGTTTTTTTACCTACCAGCCAATGCTTTCCATGTTCCTAAGAAACTGCTTTGACCATAATTTTAGTTAATTATCCATATTTATTCCATCTTGCAATTGCTTTTCTCCTTTGGCACATAAAACTACAAATGTAATCCAAGCTCAAGAGATATTTATTTACCAAAATTATCATAGTTTAGAGGCTGTAAATTAAAACCAAGAAGAAGGATTTATAGAATTTTTTTAAAAAAATTTCTCCTTTCCCAAAACTACCCCTACCAGAAAGCAACATGTTTTCACTCATATTTTATTTTTATGACTCCTGATATACTTGAGGGATGTTTATTCTCCCTACTCCAGGTCATCTAGTGTTTGAAACACTAAGGAAATGGCCATAGAGAATTGATTTCCTCTATAGAGGAAACATTTTTCATGAATTCTCCCCTGTGGAAAACTCTGAAAAGTAGATCTGCCATTACTAATTAATAACCTTGAGCCACCACTTTAGTCTTTGCTAGCCAAACGAAAATAACGATACCTGTTCTCTAGGGTATTACACTGAATTAAATGACCTGCTTCAGGCTTTTAGCCCTGTACCTCACATAGAGTTGCTTTGTAACTGTTATTTTCTATGTCCCTTGCTTTCTGGTTCCCAGCCTTGGCTAATAATTTGTAGGGTCCAGTGCAGAATGACAAAGTGGACATCTTTGTATAAAAATTACTAAGAGTGTCAAGTCAACTGCAGAACATTAAGCCAAGTGTGGGGCATGGTGTGACTACCTGGGTCACACAGAAAGCCTGCTCTGGAGGTGGGCATTGTGGCATGGCGGGGAAAGCTGCCACTTGAGATGCTGGCATCCCAAACCAGTGTGCCTGGGATTCAGTGCCATTTTGGCTTCAGATCTGGCTTTCTGTCCCAGGGGAGGCAATAGATGATGGCTCAAATACTTGGCCCTCACACCCACATGGGAGATCTAGATGCAGTGTTGGGCTCCTAGCCTCAACCTGTCCCAGCCCTGGCTGTTGTGGGCACTTGGGGAGAGAAATACTAGATGGAAGATCTCTTTCTCTCTCTCAATAAAAAAAAAAAAAAAAAAAAAAAAAAGAAAGAAAGAGAAAGAAAGGAAGAAAGAAAGAAAACCAACCCTGCTAGCTCACCAAGGAATTGCAAGGGTATATCCATCTATTCCTTTTTTTTTTTGACAGGCAGAGTTAGTGAGAGAGAGAGACAGAGAGAAAGGCCTTCCATCTGTTGGCTCACCCCCTAAATGGCCACCACAGCCGGCGCGAAGCCAGGAGCCAAGTGCTTCCTCCTGGTCTCCCATGGGGTGCAGGGCCCAAGCACTTGGGCCATCCTCCACTGCCTTCCCAGGCCACAGCAGAGAGCTGGACTGGAAGAGGAGCAACCAGGAAAGAATCCGGCGCCCCAACCGGGACTAGAATCCAAAGTGCCGGCGCCGCAGGTGGAGGATTAGCCTAGTGAGCCACTGAGCCGGCTCCATCTATTCTTCCACTAAATTAAAAGCCACTTTTTTTTTTAACTTTTATTTAATGAATATAGATTTCCAAAGTACAGCTTATGGATTACAGTGGCTTCCCCCCACCATAACTCCCTCACACCCGCAACCCTCCCCTTTCCCTCTCCCTCCCCCCTTCCATTCACATCAAGATTCATTTTTAATTCTCTTTATATACAGAAGATCAATTTAGCATGTATTAAGTAAAGATTTCAACAGTTTGCACCCACATAGAAACACAAAGTGAAAAATACTGTTTGAGTAGTCATTATAGCATTAAATCACAATGTACAGCACATTAAGGACAGAGATCCTACATAAGGAGTAAGTGCACAGTGACTCCTGTTGTTGACTTAACAAATTGACACTCTTGTTTATGGCCTCAGTAATCACCCTAGGCTCTTGTCATGAGCTGCCAAGGCTATGGAAGCCTTTTGAGTTCACCGACTCTGATCATATTTAGACAAGACCATGGTCAAAGTGGAAGTTCTCTCCTCCCTTCAGAGAAAGGTACCTCCTTCTTTGATGACCTGTTCTTTCCACTGGGATCTCACTCATGGCGATCTTTCATTTAGGTCTTTTTTTTTTTTTTTTTTTCCCAGAGTGTCTTGGCTTTCCATGCCTGTAATACTCTCATGGGCTAAAAGCCACTTTTCAAGTTTGACAACTGACCGGGAAATAAATGCAACCAAAGCAAGAAATTGCTGTTTTTTAAATCCTTACTCACTTTTACCCCAGTCTATGATGTGAATATAAGTGAGCTGTGATGATCTCTCCTAAAGGAACTGTTTTCCTCTGCCATGGTATCTCAGTGGTTTGCATCATTCTCAATCTGGAAGAATTTAAAAAAATAAAAAAATCTTAGTTTTTCTAAAATTATTGGACTCTTGACTGGCACTTAATGGCCAAAGAAGAACTCAATTCAAAAGCGCTTTATCTAGACTTACCAAGCAGCATTCATAAAAAAATAGCATAGCTCTAAACAGGCAATGCAGATCCTAGAGAGGAGACTTTTAGGGAAGCGGTCCAAATGTCGAAGAATAAATACCCAACGAGGAAGGTCTGGTCTTCAAACCATTGAGCCCCAGCTAGGCTGGTTATTCCTTCTCCTTTCTGGATGCATCAACATTTCCTTTAAAATATTTCTCAACATTCTCAGATCCTATTTGATAAGAAACAGAATCATGTAAAAAATTACATGTTTGAATATAAGTGCATATATATATTTTAATGTCTGTATATATGTGTTTGCATATACATATATTCATATACACAGAATAGCATAAAGAGCAAGAGTGTGAGAAATGTAAATAATTGGAAGAAATACACATACACATACACACACACACAAACCAACACACACAGACACTCATGGCATCCTCATAGAAGGCAAAGAAAGAACTAATAATTATTCAGCAACTTCAACGTGTTAGCTGTTTTATATACATCAGGGTATTAAAGCTGTATGTCAGGGGCCAGCACTGTGGCGTAGTAGGTTAAGCCTCCACCTCTGGCGCCAGCACCCCATAGGGGGACTGGTTGGAGTTCTGGCTGCTCCACTTCCAATCCAGCTCCCTGCTGATGGCTTGGGAAAGCTGTAGAAGATGGTTCAAATCCTTGGGCCCCTGCACCCATGTGGAAGACCTGGATGAAGCTCCTGGTTCCTGGCTTCGGATGGGCCCAGCTCCAGCCACTGCAGCCCTTTGGGGAGTGAACCAGTGAGTGGAAGACCTTTCTCTCTGTCTCCCCATCTCTCTGCCTGTGACTCTGCCTCTCAAATAAATAAATCTTTTTTAAAAAAGTTGTCAGTTTTTTATCTATTCATTTTATCTCAAAATATTTAAGATAATTTTTTCATTTTCTTTTCTTGTTTTTTCTTCTTTTTTTAAACAGCAGAGCAGCTGAGGCTCAGAGAGTCACATAATTAGCAAGGGGAAAGGTTTAGATTGGAGATTTTATCTGACATCAAAACTCATGGATCAAAATCCTATTCAGTTTTGGTACTAAATCTTGGATCCAGGAGCAGGTATTTAGCCTGGCGATTCAGACACTCATATCCTACGTTGGAGGAGCTGGGTTCAATTCCTGAGATCCTGACTTCAGCTTCGTGTCAGTGCAGACCGTGGGAGGCAGCAGGAAATGAGCGGCTCAGGTAGCTGGGCCCCTGCCCAACGTGGGAGACCACGTGGGAGACCAGAATTGAGTTCCTGGCTTCTGTCTTCCTTAGCCTAGCTCAGCCCCAGTCACTGTGGCAATCTGGGGGGAGTGTACAAGCTGATGGGAGCTGTCAAACAGGGTCCAATCTTTAAATAAAGCAAACGCCACCTCACAAACCTTAACATACTTGCCATCATCGTTCGCATGGCCACCTGGAGCTTACCATAACGGGCACCCACCCCTGCTCCCCCTGCTCTCACCAGAAAGAAAGAGTTCAGGTCTAGGATTAGCAATTACATTAACATGGATCAGGAGGCAGCAGAGATGAAAGTTAAAATACGTGGTGTGCACCGAACGTCAAAGCCCTCAAGGAAAAACCGAGCTGACTGGGGTTTCGATTCCAGCCACCCGACCCGGGAACCCCGGCCCGCGCGTCACTCCGGGAAGCGGGCCGGTTGGCCGCCACACGCCGGCGCCAGCGGCCGGACTCGGGGCCGCGGTTTCCCAGGAGACCGGGCGGAAGCGGGCGGAAGCCGCCCCGCGCGGAGAGCGGCTGCAGCATGGCGACGCTGGGGGTGGAGTCGGAGGAGGAAGGCGGCGGCGACGAGGAAGAGGACGAGGCTTGGGCCATGGAGCTGGCGGACGCGGAGGCGGCCGGCGGCTCGCAGGGTGCTCTGAGGGCGTAAACGAGGAGGGTGTGGCGGGACGCGCGGGCGGGCGCCCCTGCGGCCTCCGGCGCCTTTCGCTTTCCCGGCCCTGTCCAGGGAGGGTTTCCCTTATCTGCCTCGTGTTTCTCAGGCAAGGGGCATCCCTCGGGGGGGATGACTTCGTCTCGCAGGTGCAAGGTGGGTGGCGTCAGCCCGCCGCCGGCACGTGGAGGACGCAGCCCCCGAGGGCGGCGAGGCGGAGCCGGTCGCGAGCTGCCGGGCTGCGTCAGGTTAGAGAAGTTGAGAACCATGTCGGTCTCCTGCTGGGGGCCTGCGATCCGGCCTCGGTTTGGGCTGGAAGGGATGGCCGCCGGGAAGCCAGGAGATGGGTGGTTGAAACATTCCCGACCTCAGGTTCCTGCCTGTGGCAACCCCAGGGCCTGCAGGCAAACCTCTGCCTCACATTCTTTGCATTAAAAAAAAAAAAAAAAAAAGGAATATCATGGTTACAGAAAAAAAAGTTGCAGAGCGATGCCCTTAATTTTAATGTCTTGCATTATCTTGGTACGTTTGTCAGAACTAAGAAATCAACATTGGTATAATATTGCTAAGTGGACTACACTGTATTCACGTTACCAGTGCTTACCCTAATGTTCTTGGCTGTTCCAGCATCAAACGAGACTACCACCACTGCATCTCGCCTGCCTGATTTAACCTGGTTGAAGAGCCCTTCTTGCCTCTGTCAACCCTTCCTCTGCCCATGCATGAGTTAAAGACTTTTTTGAAATCCAAGAAATAATTGGGTCTTTCCAGTTAGTGAGTGGTGTGGAGTAGTCTCTTATGTCCTGCATGCTTTTCTAGGCGCTGGGGTTAGCACGAAACCAGATAATCCTGCTCTCAAGTAGGAGTTAAATTGAGTCCACTGCAACTCACAGGTTGTCCTTTGATGTTTTACGTGGCAGATTTTTTTAAATGTAAGGACATGCCACAGTGTAATGTTGGAAATCAACATTTCAACTTTTCTGCCCTTTCTGATTTATTCTAAAAGCTACTATGTACTTCAAAAGGATAGTATTAGTACTTGCATCATCCATAATGGATCAAGAAACTTTTAGTCAACTATTTTTCTAGCGTGAGAAAAATAACTATGCAAAGAAATGGAAGCAGGATTGAAGACCCTACTATAGATGGAGTTTAAGGTCTTTGTAATTTTTAAATTTTGACAAAACAAATCCAAGAAAAACTTAAAATCACTCTGCCGTCTTCTTTCTTAGATACCATGTTCTAAGACATTGCCTGTTGCTCAAGGATGATAAGCAGTCTGAATATATTTTTGTATTTCTTTGTATATTGTGCGACAGTTCATGATCAAGTGGTCCCAACTCGAACTTCTTCATTCAGAATCATAGTCCACGTGGATTTGGATTGCTTTTATGCACAGGTAGAAATGATCTCAAATCCAGAATTAAAGGACAAGCCTTTAGGTAATTCTGGACATTGATGATATTTTTCTTGTGTAATGGTATCATTAGCTATGAGGATGCTTGTATTTTAATGTACTAACCATATTAAGATTCTGGAGGCGTTCCCTAAAGTGCTATATGGACAGGCGTCTAGACTTCACTATGAAGTACCAGCTTTATAAGCCTCTTTGAAAAAATGGTGAATCTGAGGCCAGTATAGCCAAGCTGAACAAATGAAAAAAAGCAGAAACTTTTAGTCTCCTCATTTGGTCAGTGGCTTAGTTCTTTAGGCAGACTTCTTATTCTCGGTGTTTGAAATTTTATAAGTCTGTATATCAAAAACAGCTGTTTTTTTAATCACATCTGGGAGTTGTCATCTGTCCTCCCCATTTTGAAGGTGACAGCTAACAAAGTAGTTGAGTGTTAAACAACTCCAAATATTAAAACAGCAAGCTTTCGATAAAAACACAAGTATCTTTTTTTTAATTTTTTTTTTTTTTTTTTTGACAGGCAAAGTGGACAGTGAGAGAGAGAGACAGAGAGAAAGGTCTTCCTTTGCTGTTGGTTCACCCTCCAATGGCTGCCGCGGCCAGCGTGCTGCAGCCGGCGCACCGCGCTGATCCGATGGCAGGAGCCAGGTACTTTTCCTGGTCTCCCATGGGGTGCAGGGCCCAAGCACTTGGGCCATCCTCCACTGCATTCCCTGGCCACAGCAGAGAGCTGGCCTGGAAGAGGGGCGACCGGGACAGAATCCGGCGCCCCGACCGGGACTAGAACCCGGTGTGCCGGCGCCGGATTAGCCTAGTGATCCTCAGCGCAAGCCACAAGTATCTTTTTAAATGCAAGAAGTTTCACCTTAAAGACCACTTACAGATATGCTGGGTTGCTTTAACATTTTGCCTTTTATATCTTAAATTGGGAAAGATTTTAAAAAGGAAGGATTCTTTGAATTTAAGCCTAAAGAGCTATTTTGGTTCACTTGCTGCTACCCTCTTTTGCCTGGCTTAGTTTAATCCCAGTTCAACCCAGTTGATTACTGAAGAACAAAGGGATTACTAAATTTTCCCATGCCAGAATGAGGCTAGGATTTCTAAGAGTTTTCAAGGGTTTAGCATTAGAGTACCTAAATATTTTCTCCTGAAGGCACTTTTGATTAGTAGCATTGTGACATAAGGTGCTTTGTAGATAATACTTAATGAAAGTGTTCTGTGTGATGAAGAAATACAGATGAATTGTTGGAAAGAAAGGGATGTGAGTTTCTTTGAGAAAAATAGTCTTTCATTGATAATATATACCCAACTCAGGATGGTGGCGTACGTACAGTAGCAAGTCCATATAATGCAGTTCTGCATTTAAAGACTCCTTTTTTCAGTTGAGGAATTTACGAGTGTGATTTTTCATATAGTTACCTGATGAATGGTGATTATGATCTTTGACCCAGTGATTGTATTTTTGAGCATCATCTGATGGATTAAAAATGTTATGTACAAATAATGTTTCTTTGCCTTGTTTATGATACCAAAATTTTAGAAACAGGTGTCTTACATGAAGGGAAAAATGCAGTCCTTTCCTTCCTCGTTACAGTATTTTACATATTTTAGATGAATCTTACTTTTATAAGTAGCAAGCACTGTCAACTTGTTTAACACTCTCAAATCAATAGAGTAGGATTTTTAGGCGGTGTGTAGATGATTGTAATGTGCTCATTTCATTAGAGAGCTCATAATAACTCGCAGCTATCTTCTGTAGAAAAGGACATAATAAGGACATTTATTGCAGAGAGCGCCTCAGAGCCTTAGAGCAATAGTTAGCTATTGCTACAGCACACAGAACTTTGCCTTACATACATTGGCAAGTTGCTCTGAAGATAGCAGTTTTTCAGGCAGCAACCAATATTTAATTGTACTCTGTTCTTTTTTTTTTTTTTTTTGGTGAAGTACTTATGAGTTACATAGCAATACTGTGATTTTGTAGTGTTTGAATAAAATAGAGATTTGATTTACATCTTAGCACTAAAGATTCCACAGACTGTTGATTTGTGGTATTTTAAATTTGAGAAGTAGATATGATAATTCTTGCTTGTGAATAGTTCATCTCAATATGCAATTTTTATTACTATTACTGTTTTGTAATTTAATGATAACTTTCCTTCTTCCAAGTAGGCAGAACAATGAAAGATTAAAAGTGGTATATGGAAAAATAATGTGTTGGTATCTTATAAATTGTGTGTGAGAGATTGCTTGAAAATCCGATATTTCTGCTTTGAAGATTTTTTGATGAATGGAGGCTGTACTTTTTTTTTTTTTAACAGATTTTGTCCTTATTAAAACATTGCATTTTAATTTATACAGCTATAATATGGAATTAGTAATTGATATTTTAAAGTGTTTCTTCAACCTTGCTTGATTTCCTCCTAAAATATTTATTTTTATAGGGGTCCAACAGAAATATTTAGTGGTTACCTGCAACTATGAAGCTAGGAAACTTGGAGTTAAGAAACTTATGACTGTCAAGGATGCAAAGGAAAAGTGTCCACAGCTGGTGTTAGTTAATGGAGAAGACTTGACCCGTTACAGAGAAATGTCATATAAGGTTACAGGTATAGATTATTTGTAATACACATTTTGTATTTTTTACAGGATACCTATTTACTACATAAATCTTTTAATAAATATAGAATATCATATGCCAAATTCCTTTTCCCTAAAACCTTTATTATGGATCTTAGCTACTTTTAAAAATTATCTGAATTGAATTTTTATATTGTGAGTAATGTTGACAACAGTATATATAGTTAGAAGTAATTGGAACTCTGTCATATCTGATGTTTATGTAAATACCATGCAAAATGAAAAACAATTTAAAAGTAATAAAATGGAGGTGGGCGTTTGGCCTGGCTTGCCTGGGTTCAAGCCTCAGCTCTGCCTCCTGATCCCTGACTTCCTGCTTATATGTAACCTGGGAGGCAGTAAGTAGTGGCTCAAATACTTGGGTCTCTGCCACCTACACGTATGGCCCAAACTGAGTTCCTCATTTCTGGATTCAGCCTGATCCAGGCTGGGCTTTGGGGAGTAAGCCATTGAATGGGAGAGTTTTTTTTTTCTCTGTCCCACAGATAAGTTATAATAATAACATAAATAAATAAAAATCTAAAGAAAGGAAGAAAATGGGAATGTGTGCCATAAGGAAGTCAGATATTTTAAGCTTAAATGAATTTTGAAGAAGTATGTTCTTGAATGCACTAATGATAGTGGGAGAGGCTTCTGGAATGTTTGCTCAACATAATTAAAAGCTGGTTTCTTAAGAACTATTAGCAAAATAATGAGTATATTAGTCTAGTCTTAGATTTTATATGTATAATACACTGTCAGTACATTTCCCCATGATAAGATTTGAGTTTGAATCTTGGGTTAGTATTTTTAGTAAGTTAGAAGAAATTTGAAAATATGTAGAGTTGTCCCCCTAGCTGCAGGTTCTGTATCCACAGATTGAACCAACAATGGATCTAAAATATTTTAAGAGAAATTGCATTTGTACCGAACATGTACAGGCATTTTTTTCTTGTCATTGTTGCAGAGACTGTGTAGTATAACAAGTATTGACATAACATTTATATTGGTATTACCAGTAATCTAAAGGTGATTTAAAGTATTCAGGAGGATGAGTATTGATTGCATGCAAATATACCTTTTTTTTATAAGGAACTTGAGCATCTGCAGATTATGGTATTTGTGAGGGGTGGAAGTGGGGTCCTAAACCGATCTTTTTCAGATGCCTAAGGACACCTATAGTCATTTTTAAACATCAGCTTTGTATTGATTTATCTTTTTTACTATGGTTAAAATTTTTCTTTTATTATAGGAGGTTTTAGATGAAAGGGTTAAATATCTATAGCATAGAAAGAGCTTTTACATCATAACAAGGAACAGAAATCCAAATCCAACAAAAATGGGCAAAAGGTATAAATGGGCAATTGACAAAAAAATCTGTCTGTTTCACTCACTCACTCCCTCTCTGAGGCTCTGCTTTTCAAATAAATAAATAAATATTTTTTAAAAGATAAGAATGGATAAATATTTTTAAAAAGTATAAATTTCTTTTCTTTTGCTTTTTTTTTTTTTAAGGATTTATTTGTTCACTTGAAGGGCAGAGTTACAGAGAGGCAGAGGCAGAGAGAAAGAAAGGTCTTCCACCCTCTGGTTCACTCCCCAGATGGTTGCAACAATCTGAAGCCAGGAGCTAGGAGCTTCTTCCAGATCTCCCACATGAGTGCAAGGGCCCAAGTACTTGGCCATCTTTCACTGCTTTCCCAGGTGCGTTGGCAGGGAGCTGGATCCAAAGTGATGCAGCCACTTGGGATGCTGGTGCAGCCCAGATGGGATGCTGACGCTCAGGCAGAGGCTTAACCTTCTACACCACAGTGCCCGCCCCCACACTGACATGTTCACTGTTATGCCAGATGCCTGCTCCTGTAATTATAGGACCTCCTTTTACTTATTTGGATAATAAATATGACTTCCCTACATACATAATGATAGTGTTACCAGTTATTTTGCTGTTATATCCTGCAGTAGATATTTTCATATAGAATTTTGTCATACTTTTAAGGGAATATCTGTAAGGTTAGTTCCTAGAAGTTCATTGCTGCATCAAACATTATTTGTAGTTAAAGTTTTGAAAATTGCCATATTTTGTACTTAAGGTTAGCCCACTATAGCTTGTGAGGGTCCCAAGCACAGTCTTACCCACTAGATCAAATGCTTACCCCTACTGAGAGAGAATAAACCATCTACTGGTTTACTCCCCAAATAGCCACGGTGACAAGGATGTGGCCAGGCTGAAACCAGCAGCTTGGCACTCCATCCAGGTCTCCCACGTGGGTGGCAAGGACCCAAGTACTCGGGCTGCCTTCCACTGCTTTCCCAGGCACATTAGCAAATAGCTGGATTGGAAGTAGAGCAGCTGGAGCTGGAGTCAAACCAGCTCCAATATGGGATGTCAGCCTTGCAGTTGGTGGTTTAACCCACTGTATCACAATGCTGCCCCCCCAGCACATTATCTTTAATTCCATTTTCTGTGATCTTTTTGAAACCCTTTCATGTATGAGAATTGATAGTCTTTTTGAGTTTATTTTAAATCTTGCTTCAGGGGCAGGTGTTTGGCCTATTGGTTAAACTCATTTGGGATGCCTAGGTCGCATTTCAGAGTTTCTGGTTTGGATCCTAGCTCCTTTCCTCATCCCAGCTTCCTGCTAATGTGCATCCTGGTAGGCGGGAGGTAATGGCATAACTAGTTCATCCTGCCCATACATTTGGGAAACCCAGATCAAGTTTTCAGTGCCTGGCTTCAGCCTGGCCCACCCTAGCTGTTGAGGACATTTGGAGTGTGGACCAGCACTCTTACTTGCTGTCTCTCTCTTTCCCTCTCTTTGTCTGTCTTAGATAAATAAAGATACAAAAAATTAAAAAAACAAAACAAAACAAAGAATTAAACCTTGGTTCCATTTAGTAAACTGGACTTAAGGGCTGGGTGTTATACTAGATGCTGGACATTGAAGCCACGTAAGCTGTGATCTGTCTCTGCCTCTCTGCCCTTGAGGAATGTGCTGGAGATTGGCTACTCAAAATACTGCCTTGTAGTTTATTTTCAAAATTAAATGACTTCTGTTTGACTCAGTAATAATTCAAGATGTTAAGTGTTATTTTGTTTTGCCTTTTTTAAACTTGTGGAAAGTACAGCTGAAATTACATGGTTTTACTTCCCTAAGGAGACTATAATTGTTTGACACTGATTCGAGATTGTAATTAACTATAAACAGTGATATTTAATGTACTACTGATATAAAAATTATAGAGGAATGAGCTAAATATATCACCATAGTAATTACCCTGGAAATGTCATTTTTGGACTTGTTTGTTGTAAAATATTGTCTCTACCCAAAATGTGGTGCAGGGGAAATAAATCCCAGTTAACTGAGGACTTTTTAAAAATATTGTGGAATTTGAATATATATAAAATCTTAACAATATGATTAAATTTGATATATTCTTAAAGCGTTAAATGGTTAAACCTATATCTTCAATTACATCTGTATTCTAATATTATTTCAACCTAGAATTGCTGGAAGAATTTAGTCCAGTTGTTGAGAGACTTGGATTTGATGAAAATTTTGTGGATCTGACAGAAATAGTTGAGAAGAGATTACAGCAGCTTCCAAGTGATGAACTTTCTGCAGCGACTGTGTCGGGTCATGTGTACAATAATCAACGTGAGTTCTTCTCATTCTGTTTAGTAACTAAAAATGCATCCATTCCTTACTGTTTAAGCTTGCTGTGTCATTCTGAAAGATTTCTGACTTTTGTTGGAGGAGAGCCATGTCTAGTCAGTGATCTGTCCAGTATAACTAAAATCAGCTGTTGTTATTCCATACTAAGTTTGCAGAAAATGAGATTTTGGTGCTGTGTAGCTCAGTACTCTGACATAGTGATTCTTTTTTTCATTTTTAAGAGCCAACCCTTCTTAGGTCACCCTTTGTTATATGAGTTTTCTTGATTTTTAGAAATATGTGTTTTAGAATGATTTTTGATTCTCCTAATCCTATCTCTAAGGAGAATTGTGAGGTGGGCTAAACTTGCCTTTGATGTATTTTATTTATTCCCTTCTATTCCCTTGAGACATTGAGACCCCAGTGTTGCGCTCTCATCTTGTCCAGGTCTCCCTGTCATATGCTAGTGTTTTCTGGAAGTTTCTGTTTAATCTATTCAAGGAATCTTAGCCAACTCTTAGTAGCTTTGAGCAGAATGGTTCATACCCTTCAAATATTAGGGTATGAGTGACTGATCATGTTTCCAAGGATGTTTGTGTTTGAAAATAAGCTGCAGTAGACACCATTAAGTGTATAATTAGGCTTCCAGACATCTTGTGACTCTGCTGCTGACTCCATATCAGGGCGAGCTACTGGTTTTTATGTAAGACTTGCATGACCTCTTGCTGCTTGGCCTCAGTATATGCTTCCTCTGATCTTCCTCTTTTGTAGAGCTGTCATTAATCTCTAGTCTAGTTCTCTACAGAAGAAAGGAGTAGAGCTATAATTTTTAGAAAGCATGATTTTTTTATGTGTCTTTTGTACCTGTACTCATTTGTTGCTTACAAGGGCTAAGTAACAAATAGGTTTCAAATATATTTCTTTTTTTTTAATTAAGATTTATTTATTTATTTGAAAGTCATAGTTACACAGAGAGAGGAGAGGCAGAGAGAGAGAGAGAGGGAAAGAGATAGAGAGAGGTCTTCCATCCACTGGTTCACTCCCCAATTTTGCTGCAATGACCAGAGCTGCACAAATCCGAAGCCAGGATCCAGGAGCTTCTTCAGGGTCTCCCACATGGGTGCAGGGGCCCAAGGACTTGGGCCATCTTCTACTGCTTTCCCAAGCCATAGCAGAGAGCTGGATTGGAAGAGGAGCAGCCGAGACTAGAACTGGTGCCCATGTGGGATGCCAGTGCTTCAGGCTAGGGCGTTAACCTGTTGCACCACAGCGCCCGTCCCCCAAATGTATTTCTATATACTTTTTAAGGCAAACCCAGACTTCATTGTTAGAACATATTCTTGTAGAAAGAGAACTTTGTTTTAAATCCCAAATAGAAAGTGTGTAATTACTCATCAATTCTTCCTTTTCCACATAATGTTTTATTAAAAATGTTTTCAAACATAAAGAAAAGTTGGCAGAGAACACTCGTTGTTTCCTTTCTCGTGGATATACCATCTACTATCATTAGGGCATATTTGCTGTATCTTGCTTTTAGTATGGATTGATTGATTAATCACTAAGGCATTTGGAAGTAAATTGCAGATTTCATGGTATTTTGTCTGTAGACCTTTTAGGCATGAGTTTCCTGAGGATAAGGATAGGCTCATTAATACAGAGAGGACAGATTCAGTGCAGTTTGGCGATAGAATTCTCAGAATATAATGATATTTCCTTCCTTCTTCCCTCTCCCTCCCTTCTTTTCTTCCTTACTTTCTTAAATTGTGCGTCAGAATTTATTTTTAGCAGCTCATGTAGCTAGTGTGTAAAGTTTAGATTCAATTCTTTAAAACTGTAGTGTTAACTTTATCATTATGTAATAATTTATGCTTCCTAACAGGTAAATGTGGTAAAATTTTTATCAGTGTCAGTAAGAATTTTTTCATGAAGCCAGTTTTCATAATTTGTCAATAATTAAGCACTCCCAGCATACATTTACTATCACAGGCCCTGACATTCCCCTGTGGTATTTGTTTACTTTGCAGTAGTCTTATGAACAATGAAAGAGATGAGTCAAATGGCTAACACTGGTGGTGGTGGTGGTAACAGGGTTTGGGTATAGATTATTAAACCTTGTACCTTTCGAAAACTGGTTTGTGAAAAGGAAAATTAAATTTTTGATGTAACATTTAAAAATCTTGTCTGTTTTTGCAGCTGTAAACCTGCATGATGTCCTGCACATCAGACTACTTGTTGGGTCTCAAATTGCAGCAGAGATGCGGGAAGCCATGTACAATCAGTTGGGACTCACCGGCTGTGCTGGAGTGGCTTCTAATAAACTACTGGCAAAATTAGTCTCTGGCGTCTTTAAGCCAAATCAACAAACTGTCTTATTACCTGAGAGTTGTCAAGATCTCATGCATAGTTTGAACCACATAAAGGAAATGCCTGGTAAGACACATGCATTTGAAAAGTATGTATTGGTTTTATTGCATTTCTTTAATTTTAAAAAGTATAGATACAGTGTAATTAATTCTTACACACTTGTACTTGTCTCTTGAGGAGAATTAAAAGACATGTTTTCTAAAGCAACTCTGTATTAGGAAATATGTGAAAGTACTTTTCTGTTTTTACCTACTTTTGTGTAGTTAGAATTGTAGGGGTGCTTCAGAAAGTTTATAGGAAAAGAGAATTAAAAGCTAAGTTTAGTTTTCTAAAAGTTTTAAATTACATTTTAAAATTTCTGATCTACATGTAATATATACACATTTTTATGGAGTAAAGGATGGTATTTTAACACCTATACACAACATAAACTGATCAAATCAGGCAGTTAACCTTTACATTTCTTTCTTTTTTTTTTTTTTTTTAAGATTTATTATTTTATTTATGTGAAAGACAAGAGTTACAGAGAGAGGTACAGAGAGAGAGGTCTTCCCTCTGATGGTTCACTCCCCAGATGGCTACAACGGCCAGAGCTGTGCCAATCTGAAGCTAGGAGCCAGGAGCTTCTTCCAGAGAGGTCTTCCCTCTGATGGTTCACTCCCCAGATGGCTACAACGGCCAGAGCTGTGCCAATCTGAAGCTAGGAGCCAGGAGCTTCTTCCAGGTCTCAGGTGTAGGGGCCCAAGGAGTTGGGCCATGTTCTACTGCTTTCCCAAGGCATAGCAGAGAGCTGGATTGAAGTGGAGCAGCCAGGACTAGAACCAGCACCCATATGGGATGCCGGTGCTTCAGGCCAGGGGTTTAATCTGCTGCGCCACAGCGCTGGCCCCAACCTTTACATTTCCTTATTTTTTCATGTGTTTGGATCCTACTGGATCCTCTCTTCCAGTTTTTCATACAGTAAATAACACATGGGGAATTAGTCACTTGTGCTTTGACATATTAGAACTTGTTACTTCCATCTGTCTACTTTGGTATCCTTTATCCAACCTTCTAAGATAAGTTTACTATGATACAAAAAATTTTGAAAACCATGAAGTAGGGGAGGTCTTCAAAAAGTTCTGGGAAAATTTGTATGATGAAGGGACCGGCATTATGGCACAGCAGATTTAGCCTGTGCTTGTGTTGCAGCCATCCTGTATGGGCGCCAGTTCCAGTCCTGGCTACTCCACTTCTGATCCAGCTCCCTGCTAATGTGCCTGGGAAGGAAGCGGAGGATGGCCCAAGTTTTTAGGCCACTACCAACTATGAGGGAGACCTGGACGGAGTTCCAAGCTCCTGGTTTTCGGGCTAGCTCAGCCCTAGCCATTGCAATCATTTAGGGGAATGAACCAGTGGATAAACTGTCTCATTTCCTTTCTGTCCCTCCCTCTCTGTAGCTCTGCCTTTCAAATAAATAAATAAATCTTTTAGAAAACGCGTATTATGGTGTTGTGATGTGGTAGGTAAGGCCACCACCTGCAACACTGGCATTCCATATGGGTACCAGTTTGATTCCCATCTGTTCTACTTCTAATCCAGTTCCCTGCTAATGGCCTCAAAAATTAGCAGAAGATGGCTCGAGTGTTTGGGGTCCTGCCACCCACTTGGGAGACCCAGATGAAGCTCCTTACTCTTGGCTTTGGCCTGGCCCAGCACTGGCCCTTATGACCATCTGGGGAGTGAACCAGCAGATGGAAAATCTCTCTGTATCTCCTTCTGTCTCTGTAGCTCTGACTTTCAAAATAAATAGTCTTTTAAAAAAATGCATATTATGGGGGCCGGTGCTGTGGCACAGTGGGTTAACACCTGGCCTGAAGTACCGGCATCCCATATGGGCGTGGTTCGAGACCCGGCTGCTCCACTTCCGATCCAGCTCTCTGCTATGGCCTGGGAAAGCAGTAGAAGATGGCCCAAGTCCTTGGGCCCCTACACCTGAGACCTGGAAGAAGCTCCTGGCTCCTAGCTTTGAATCAGCACAGTTCTGGCCGTTGCCGCCAATTGGGGAATGAACCATCGGATGGAAGACACCCCCCCCCCCTTTGCCTCTCCTCTCTCTCTGTGTAACTCTGACTTTCAAAAAAAAATCATATTATAAATATTTGCTATAATTTTAACATTTTTTGCACCAAAATAAAATTATCTTTTAATTTTATTTTCTTTTAATTTTTCTACTTGAAATCCAGAGTTTCAATGAAAGGAGAGAGAGAGACAGACCATCCATCTGCTGGTTCATTTCCCAAATAGCCACAGTGGCTGGGGCTGGGCTAGGCCAAAGCCAGAAGCCTGGAACTCCACCCAGGTCTCCCAGATGAGTACAGGGAGCCAAACACTTGGATTATCTTTTGCTGCTTTCCCAGGCTAATTAGCGGGTAGCTGGATCAGAAGTGGAGCAGCTGGGACTTAAACAGGCACCCACATGAGTATCAGCATTGTAGGCAGTGGCTTAACCTGCTCCAGCACAATGCTGGTCCCTAGATCTGTTTTCATTTTCAATGATGTATTCAGGTCACGGGGCAAGTTTGTATCTTTGAAAATCAAATATCTACATTGTCATATGGATATGCTAAACTTTATTTCTCTAGCATTGCTAGGGAATAAGATGTTAAACTTTTGTAGAAGTGAATTTCTAAGACAATTGAAATAATCCTTTAGGTGTTATAATTTTACATTTTATTTTTTATAGATTTATTTAGTTATTTTGAAAGTCACAATTACAGAGAGATTCACTCCGCAAATGGCCAGCACTGGGCCAGGCGGAAGCTAGGAGCCAGGAGCCTCCTCCAGTCTCCCACATGGGTGGCAGGGACCCAGACAGTTGGACCATCTTCTTTGCCTTTTCTCAGGCTATTAGCAGGGAGCTGGATCAGAAGTGGAGCAGCTGGGGCACAAACCTGCACCCATATGGGATGCCTGCATTGCAGGTGGTAGCATTACCTGCTATGCCATGAAGCCGGCCCTATAACTTTACATTTTTAACCCATGTTTTGGTGATTCCAAAATGTATTATATATGCCTTACCTTCCTTAACGTAGTAAAATTACAAGTGTGTTGTATGACTCTGTATTCTGAAGACTAATGTCATTAAGGATTAAATACTGTACAGAGTGTACAGAAATTTTTACTTGGCTTTATGCTTGTGATTTTGTAGCTTTTTTTTTTTTTTACAGACTTTCTACTTTGTCCATATTGCTAAATTGCCAGCCTTCTTATATTTCTGTGAAAGTATCTGTCATTGTACATTAGTAATTCCCTCTGTATACCTGTCTCCTCTGATTGACTGCTTTTACTTTGCAAGGAAATCAGATAACCATAGATTATAGATTATTGTTTTATTTATTTGAAAGTCAGAGGGAGAGAAAGGGGGAGGGATACCTTCCAACCACTTATTCACTCCCTAGATGACCACAAGGGCCAGGCCGAAGCCAGGAGCCAGGCGTTTCATCCTGGTCTCCCACCTGGTGCAGAGACCCAAGCACTTGTGCCATCTTCTGCTGCTTTTCCAGCCATTTGCAGGGAGCTGGGTCAGAAGTGTAGCATCCAGGGATAATGGCATCACAGGCAGCAGCTTTACCTGTTAAGCCACGATGCCAGCCCCAGATTATTGTTATTTTTAAAAATGAGGCACTCAGCTCTTTCCTGAGATGCCCACCTGGCCTGACAGGTTTATTCTGTGTGTTAAATTTTGTAACCATGCTTTACCCCCATCTGAATGACTGGGCACTTTCTCAGATCCATCTGGACAGGTGCCCATCATCTTGACAGGTGCCATAACCCATTAAATCTTGCTACCTTGCTTACCACTAGAAACTAAATTAATTAATTTTAAAAATTAAACAAAATGAAAAGGAATAAAGAGGCACTAATTGGTCTGAATATTTCTCATATGAATAAAATTAGGGTGAGCTTTAGTGCAAGAACTTTGTGATAGTTTTGCTATTAAGATATTTTGCTTATTTCCTTCCTGGCTTTTGGTTGTGTTCTGGATGGTAAATATTGCTAGATATGACTTGTGGATAATTGTGTAGTATTTTATATAGGAGTTAGATTACTTAATAAGCTCACATTAATTAATTTTAATTGCTCTAGTGAAAGTCTTTTTTTTTTGCATTAATAATAGCCATGATTCTTGAATACATTATATTACATATTGTGAGGGCTTAAAAGAGATACATACAACTCTGAGGCCTGGGTGGAAGAAACCACCTAAGTTGCAACAGAGTTTGATCTTTATAAATAGTAATTATGGAACTTAAAGATATAGTTGATATATTTTATTAGCTTCATTTTAAGGATAAAACTACTTTAACACTGGGCAATTTTTTTTTGCTTAGGTGTTGGCTATAAAACTACTAAACGTCTTGAAGCACTGGGCATCACTAGTGTGCATGATCTCCAAACCTTTTCATCTAAAATATTAGAAAAGGAATTAGGAATTTCAGTTGCTCAGCGTATCCAGAAGCTCAGTTTTGGAGAAGATAACTCTCCTGTGATACCCTCAGGGCCACCTCAGGTATGTGATGGTGTTATTTTCATTAAACATTGATTGTCATACTGTTTGAGATGAAGATTTCTAAGTTTAGTACCACATTCTTGTTCTTTTAATTTGTTTACTAGGTTAGTACATGATCCCCTTTCTGTGAGAAGCCTGATGTAGATTAATAAATATTCTTAAGTTGAATCTTAAGTGTTGATATTTTTATGTCTCTAGTTAGCTACTTGGAATACAACTTAATTTCACAAGCCTATATTCCATATACTAGGAGGCAAACATTTTAATGTTTCAAAAATCTTGTTTTTAAAGTAACCCAGTGATTTAGCAAGTGGGGACACATATAATGACATAGTTAACATTGATTGGCATTTTTCCTATGTGCCAAGCACCGTTTTAAGTGCTTTATATACATTATAGTCTATATAGTCTACACAACGAACTTTCAGGTAGGTAGTACTGTTATTTATTCATTCAGTCCTCCCCCTTCTTTCCTTCTCTTCTTAGGTGGAAGATGCTGTACTTTGGAAAGGTTCAATAATATGTGTAAGGGTAAACTCAGATTTGAGTAGTCCTAGGGGGTTAAGAATGTTGCTATAATCTCACAGTAAAGTTTGGAATTGATAATAGAGCTTTATAACTTTCTAGTGAACTACAATAACTTGCAGATAAGAGCAGTTAACATAAATGGGAACTAAATGTCTCAAACTAAGCACAGGAGGTAAGTTAGTGAAGAATGTGTTGAATATTTGACTTACATACTGACAATTGGATGTATTTATTTGAGTTTATATAAATCTTCATTTTTCTTTGATAGTCCTTTAGTGAAGAAGATTCATTTAAAAAATGTTCATCTGAAGTTGAAGTCAGAAAAAAGATTGAAGAACTGCTTACTAGTCTTTTGAACAGGTGATTTTCAGTCTGTGTTTCCAAGTCATTCATTACATTTGTTCATTATAGAGTGTGGAAACGATGCTTGATATTTTATCTTGAACTTACAGGTTAACTGGAAACTAGATCGTGTAAAGATACATTTTTCACTGGATTTCTCTGCATTCAAAACTACCACAAAGATATTCATAGGTCTTGTTAACTACGTTGAAGGCATCTACCTCCACTGGTCTTAATTGTAGTGACACTGTAGTTGTACTGTGGATTTTGAGTTGCAGATAGTTTCCTAAAGAGATTTTATGGCTATCTCTCATATTCCTAGGCTTATTCTAGTCCTTAGATGAGAAGGAAGTTTTAATTTTCTTTGCTGTGGCAATTGCAGAGCCTTCGCCCTCAACCTAATAGTTACTTGATTTTCAGTAAGAGGGGAAAAAAATGCAAAGAGGATTTATTTTGTCACAATTCCAAAAATCCTTCATATCTCCTTTGCCTCAGATTATGTGAAAGAAAACAGAGTCAAAGGAAGGAATGGATAGATGGGCCATGTGTGAGTGTGTGCAGGGTTTCTGATCTATAAGTACATGATGAGAGTCCACTGGGACTAGCAGTGTACAAATAGCATAAAGTACTGAGCAAGTTTAGTTTTCTGGTGCTCCTTAGTAGTCATCATACATGTATTTCTCAATATTCTACAAAAGAGTGGGGTATCTTTTCCCCCAATTTGTGATTCTCTCTTTATTGTTAGAGGTATAACAGCTGGCATTAGATGTGTTTCTTAGTGGCCCTGGTGATTTAACTGTATCTAGGGAAAATGGTTTTCAAATGACTCTGAGTCTGAGAAAACTGTGAAGTGAAATTTCCTACGAGTTTATGCAGCCTGGCTGTCTTGCTTTGAGCAGGGCCATGCAGTGCTTTGCTAAGCTTCACTCAGCTGGGGCTCACTGTATGACTCAACTCCAGCAATGTGACTCAGGATGGGCGTGTGAGTGTGCTAGTCAACCAGAATCATTCACTCTGCTTCATCTAAATCAGGGTGCAGGAGGGGGCGGCGTCTGGCCTGTGGGCTGCTTAAGCTGGGGAAATCTGATCCTGCCAAGGCATCTGCAGGCGGGACTTGACTTTCAATAAATCTAGAGCAATCTATTTTTTTTTTCAAAGATTTATTTATTTATTTGAAAGGCAGAGTTACACATAGAGAGAGGAGAGGCAGGGAGAGAGATCTTCCATTCTCTGGTTCACTCCCCAATTGGCTGCAATGGCCAGAGCTGCGCTGATCCAAAGCCAGGAGCCAGGAGCTTCCTCCAAGTCTCCCAAGCCGGTGCAGGGGCCCAAGGACTTGGGCCATCTTGTACTGCTTTCCCAGTCTATAGAAGAGAGCTGGATTGGAAGTGGAGCAGCCGGGACTCGAACTGGCATCCATATGGGATGCTGGAACTGCAGGTGGTGGCTTTATTCGCTACACCACAGTGCCAGCCCCAACAGACTAATTTCTCAGTTGATAGTTCTGTGTGGCCTGAATGATTCTATAAATACCCAAATGACCCTTGGCAGAAAAAGCTTTCCCAACCTCATCTAAATATAAGACTGTGCTTCAATACGTGGCCATCAGAAAGCTCTGCATGTACATAGACCATATGAGTATGCCTTGCAGGTTCTCTTACTTGAAGAGTCAGCCCTAAAATGAGACTTGATGCTTTAAATCCACGAAATAGCAAGTATAACTCTTTGTTCATATTTCTGCTTGCCAGTCTCCTGTCCCTGACAGCATGGCCCCTTACTTTAGTGGTTGAGGTATAATATTATCTAAGTGATTTGCCTGTGTGTGTATGTGTGCTAATTTTTTTTCTGGAGTAATGGTGGTTAATATTATAGGTATGAAGGGAATGTAAAACCATATAATTTTTAATCCATACTGTAGGCACTAGTTTAAGATCGCTTAGGATGTAACCTTTTTCTAATGTATCTAATTAGCATATCCCACTCTTTGAATTGCATCATTACTTACTAGAACAAGTTTAATTAGAAGATCCTGAAATTAGTAACATGTTTTCAGGAACCACTTAAAACATTTTATTAACCCCGTTAAGCAGCCATCAAGTTTTATAATAAAGGAATAAGAGAAGAAAAAAATTACTTACTACAAAATTAATTTTACTAATTCAGAATCTTCAATTTTAGTTTGCTTAATGATATACAATACTTGCATTTTGTGTTTGGTATTTCATGCATCGCCATGCATATACTAAGGAAAATGTTTTCTTTAATTACATTTATTTTTCCAGTTAATTAGATTTTCTGCTTTTTAAGTAGATTTTTCATATCATTAACACATTCATTTCAACACCAAAACCAAGACCATTTGGATGGAATTCTTTTTTTTTTAAGATTTGTTTATTTATTTGGAAGGCAGAGTTATAGAGAGGCAGAGGCAGAGAGAGAGAGAGAGAGAGAGAGAGAGGTCTTCCATCCACTGGTTCACTTCCCAAATGGCTGCAAGGGCTGGAGCTGGGCCAATCTGAAGCCAGGAGCCAGGAGTTTCTTCCCGGTCTCCCACGTGGGTGCAGGGGCCCAAGCACTTGGGCCATTTTTTGCTGCTTTCCCAGGAGCATTAGCAGGGAGCTGGATTGGAAGTGGAGCAGCCAGGAATTGAACCGGTACCCATATGGGATGGCAGGTGCTCTGCAGACCTCTTTATGGGTTTCTTTTAATATGCAAGCATATATACTTACCTTCCTAAGTACTACCTTTTAGGGTAGTACTCTTAACACTGTTAATCTGATAGTGGTGATACTACTGACTCTCTGGGATCTATTTGGGGAATGTTCCTTAACAAAAGTAATTCCATTTTATAAGAATATTAAAAGATTTTTTAAATTTCTTATTCAGGTGGCATGGAGACAGAGATAGAACTGTCTACTGGTTTATCTCCCAAAAGTAACAGCTGGGGCAGAGTTGAGCAAGGCTAGAAGCTTGGGACTCTTGGGGAGTAGCAGGGACCCAGCTGCCTGAGCCATCACCTACTGCCTCCTTGGGTGCATATTTGCAGGAAATTGGAATTGGGAGCAGTCAGGATTCCCTCAGGCATTCCAATATGGGAAGTTGGGATCCAAACCAGCAGCTTAACTGCCAGGCCACATGCCTGCTTCACATTTTGCTTTTAGTAATCTCATTCTACAAATCTCATTCATACAAATCTCATTCTTACAAAATGTTGGCATGCTTCACTTATTTGCTTCTGTCAGTGAATGATTCTCTCAATTTCTTAAATTTTCTGCAAATTTTATTATGTTGCTTTTGGTTGTATTTTGGATATGGATTATAAGACAGCTTGTTACAATTATGTCCCATTTCTGTTTCTGTTCTGCATTTGCCAGCACTCAATTCTGAGTGAGACTTGAGAGCCTCACACAATTTCAGAGTGTTGGTGTTCTAGACTTTGTGATATTTATTTATGTATTCAGGGATCTTTATTGCTTAGTACTTAGTTATGTATTATATATATAATTTCAAAGTATCTTCAAAAAGCACATGGAAAGTGTAACTTGAAGAACTATACATGGGTTCAAGGTATTTTTTTGGTATCAAACTTTATCTTTTAATGTGATTTTTCCATGAACTTTCTGAAATACCCTTCTAGTTGCCAAATCTCGAACTTTTACATGAATGAGGTATTACCCATTAAAAAATCTTTAGGTAGTATTTTTCTAATTCCCTATTTCCACTTATTTTAGAGTATGCCAAGATGGAAGGAAGCCCCATACAATAAGATTAATAATTCGTCGGTTTTCATCTGGGAAGCTCTGTGGTCGTGAGAGTCGACAGTGCCCTATCCCATCTCATGTAATTCAGAAGTTAGGGACAGGTATGACTAGTTTTCTCAGAATTTAATATTCAATTTGAACTCTAAAAAAAGTATACTTTGAGTTAGAAATATATGGAGGGTTTTCATAGAAGTCAGCAGTTAGGTATTTTTCTATCAGAAATTTTCACTGGAAAACTGTTGTTTTTAAATAAATAGTAAAAGTGAGGATTCAGACTGTTTTCCATGTTTAAACAAAACCACTACAACTCTATGCCATGTGAGGTAACTGATTTATGTGCATATAGATTGCATTCTTTGTTTCTGCTATTATGAAAAATGGTTCTGTAGATAATTTATGTACAAACTATTGGGTGGATTTGTTAAAAGTCTATTCAATTTTGTGTTTATTTTGCATCAGTCATGATAATTTGTATCTTCTGGGAATTTGTGCCTTTCACCCACGTCATTAATTTGTTGACATGAAGTTGTTAATACTACTGTTAGTCCTTTAACTTTTTGTAGAATTTATTGATGTTTCCACTTCCATTCTCGGTTTTGATAACTTACATCTTTTTTATTTTGGTATTTTAGCCAAGGTTTATCAATTTTGTTATCTCCATTATTTTTCTGTTATGGGCCTTTAAAAAGTTCATAAAAATGCATCTTTGAAGAATACCATAGGGCTTCAAAAATTTTTTGCACCAAAATAAATTTATCTTTAAATTTTAGTTTGATCAACTTTTTGAAACATTTTTCTATTTTTCTACTACAGTTGTTTCCTGATCCTTACATTTTTTCTGTTTGCTTTAAGGTAAATTTTCCTTTCCCTCCTGGTTTCTTAAGATAAATACCTAGGTTACTTATTTTATAGTTCTTTTCTAATTAAAGTTTTATATTTCCTTTTTTTATAAATATTTATTTATTTACTTGAAAGTCAGAGTTACACAGAGGAGAGGCAGAGAGAGAGGTCTTCCATCCGATGGTTCACTCCCCAGTTGGCCGCAACAGCCAGAGCTGCGCTGATCTGAAGCCAGGAGCCAGGAGCTTCTTCCGGGTGGGTGGATACAGGGGCCCAAGCACTTGGGCCATCTTCTACTGTTTTCCCCGGCCATAGCAGAGAGCTGGATTGGAAGTGGAGCAGCTGGGCTTGAACCAGTGCCCATATGGGATGGCAGTGCTTCAGGCCAGGGCGTTAACCCTCTGCGCCACAGCCCAGCCCCCTGTATTTCCTTTTAAGTAGTTGCTTTAGTTGAAGTCTGTAAATTTGCTTTGCTTGTTTTTCAATAAGGACAAAATAGTTTCTTATATCTCTTCTGATTTTTTTACCCCTAATCTTGTTTAATTAATTAATTTACTTTGAAAGCTTTACAGAGAGAGAGGGAGAGACACACACTAGAAAGAGAGAAATCTTCCATCCTTTGGTTCAGTCCCCGGATGGCTGCAATGGCCAGTGCTGGGACAGGCCAGGAACCAGATCTTCCAGTTGGGTACAGGGACCCAAACACTTGGGCCACCTTCTGTTGATTTTCCCAGGCCATTAGCAGGGAGCTGAATTGAAGTGGAGCAACTGGGATTCGAACTGGTACCCATAATGGAATGTTGGCATTGCAGGCGGCAGCTTTACCCTCTATGCCACAATGCTGTTCCCTTTACCCCAATCTTCAAAAATGTGTTAATTTCCAATTATTTGATAATTTCCCTAATTTTTTTTCTGTTGTTGACTTCTAATTTATATTTAATGTTCATTAAATAACAAACTTTGAATAATTTCAATCCATTTAAATTCATTGAAACTTATTGCCTAGCATATGATCTATCTTGGATAGAGTTCTGGTTGAGTTTGAAGAGTTGAGAAATAGTATCAAACAGCTCAATGTAACTAAAATTTATGGTGTACTTTAAATGACAATTTTCCTGGATAAATGATCCTTGAAAGTGTTCCCCATGCCTCAGACTTTGGGTATGTTGGGAGGCTTCTGTAAACAGCCCTGGAGCATCCAGGTAAGCAGAGGCTGATGGGTGATTGCACTGAAGGAATGCGTTCTGCTTCTAGAGCAGGGTGGAAGAGATGGCATCTGTCTGTGAAGGCTGTAGAAAGCGGTTGGCTGTAGACCAGTGAAGGCTGTTAGTGGGCATGCAGGAAGACTTGGGCCACAGTTTGCAGTTGGAGCATGCGGTATTACTTTTAAAAACTTCTGAATTTTTAAAAATTTTATTTGAGGAACAGGAATCGTGGCACAGAGGGTTAAGCTGCTGCTTGGGACATCTGCATCCCAAATTAGAGTGCTGGTTTGAGGCCCAGCTGCTTCATATTTCTGATCCAACTTCCTGCTCAAATGCCTGGTTGGCAATGGATAATGGCCCAGGTACTTGGTTCCTGCTGTCCACGTGGGAGACCCAGTGGAGTTTCTGGCTCTTGGCTTTGGCCTGGCCCAACCCTGGTCGTTGTGGGCAATTAGGGAGTAAACCAGCAGATGGAAGACACCCATCCTCCCGCCCCTTTTCCTCCATACCTCTGTTTCACTCCCACTCTCATGCTCTGTCACTCTGCTTTTCAAATAAATAAATAAATAATTTGAGAGTCATGCAGACAGACAAATATCCTATCTATAGTTCATTCCCCAAATGCCTGCTAGGCCAACTGGTAAGGAGCCAGGAACCAAGTCCAGGTCTCCCTTGTGGGTGGCAGAGACCCAAGTACTATAGCTATTACCTGCTGCCTTCCAGGTACACAGGAAGCTGGAATTGGGAGCAGAGCTGGGCTTGAATCTAGGCACTCTGCTATGAGAAGCTGGTGTGACAAACAGGGTCTTAACCACCAGAAGTCTTAGAGTGGTAAGGTAATTGTAAGCTAGATACCAAGCTTGGAACTGAGGCTTGTGATTGCTAGGAGAGGGCCCATTTTACATGTTTGTGGTGTGGCAGAACACTGCTGGATGTGCTCACACATAGGTGCTATGAACAGATTATGCAACAGGACCAAGAAAAAGTAAATGACTGTACACTGGAACCAGGAAGAAAAGCCCCTTCCTCCCTCAGTGCTCCCCTGGTGGTCTGTATTGACAAAGCTTACATTAGGTTCTCTGGAAAAATTATTTAGAGTCTAGTTTATTATTGCATAGCAGCTACTGAAGGGCAAATTTGGAACAGAAAGATAATAAATTGTAAATAGGCACAGCTGTATATATTATTCTCTTTTCTGTGATGAGTCATGTGTCTCTATCTTTCTTGGGAGGCAAGAACCCAATTACTTGAGCCATCACTGCTACCTCTCAGGGCTTGCATTGGTGGGAAGCTGGAGTCAGGAGCCAGAGCCAGCAATAGAACCTTTGAATGGAATACCACTTTGATGTGGGATATGGGCATCTTAATTGCGAGCTAAACACTTTTTCACTGCCTTGATTTTTGTTTTCTGCTAGATCTTCCTGTATCTCTCCTCAATATACACGTAGCCATTTCAGTTAAGAATGTGTGGTGAGCTTGGGCCCTCTCTGGCCTTCCCTCTGTATGCAAGCAGTCTCTCAGTCACCTAGGTGAGCTTAGCTAGACCCTCAGTGGATCTCCCATTTCCAGATATCCTGGTTAAATTGCTGGCCATCCCACTTATCGTTTATTTACCCATACCATGACTGTAACCTCAGGCTAGCAAAGCTGTGGGATTTCCCCATTTGTTTCCTACTATGTTTGCTCATTTTACTAACAGCACTGTTGAGTGTGAGTGTGAGTGGAGCTTTTGCCCCCTGCCTCAAGTCAGGTTTATCGTTATCAGTGATGCTCTGGGTTTCACAGCCGGCATCACCGTGGTGGAGTGATTTCATTAACTGAGCTGTATAAGGGGTATGTGAACAGTCTCAGCAGTAAGGCTGCTGTCACCCACTTCTTAAGGTCTAGCAACTTTTCATGAATCACTGCTTCTTACTTTGTTTGCCTTTGTTTCATTTCCAGATCCCTAAGATGGTTTTTTTAAAATATATTTTTGTTCAGTTTTATAATAGTTTAGGGAGGGGAAGATTTTCCAACTCTATCACTTTACTTTAACCAGAAACCCCATATTTCCCATCTTTTGAAAACTAACTCCTTTGGTATTTAGTATTATGTTGAGATGTCCTTGTTTAGTGTGTAATGCCAAGATAATCAAAGACATATATTTAGGATTTTAATTTCCTAATCTAAGCAATGTAAGTTATACTAAGCTCTTAATATTGATTGATGTAATATATTTATATATTGTCTTCTTAAATATTTTATTTAGGAAGTAATGATGTGATGACTCCTATGGTTGATATACTTATGAAACTTTTTCGAAATATGGTGAATGTGAAGATGCCATTTCACCTTACCCTTCTAAGTGTGTGCTTCTGCAACCTTAAAGAACTAAGTAGCGCGAAGAAAGGGCCTATGGATCGTTACTTAACACCATCATTAGCAACCACACGCCCTGGCAAGCGCAGTTTTGTAAGTACTTTCTTATTGGGTCTGAGTTTGTGTTTAGCTGATATAAGTTAGACATTCTTTCCAGTGATATTGTTTGGATGATTTACTTGTTTGGGCTATGAGAGTACTTCAGAACATTTATAGAAAAAGCGAATTAAAAGATAAGTTTATTTTGGTGCAAAAAATTTTTGAAATCCATGCATTGTTTTCTCCTAATATGTATTTTCTGTAAACTCTTTGAAGACTCCTTTACAAGTGTAGATTGCAATTTTTTTGGCATCAAAATGAACTTATCTTTTAATTCCACTTTCCCACAAACTTTCTGAAGTTGCTTTACCTACCATATTATGGTTGCTGACCTTAAATGTATTGTGTTCTAATAAGAAGACGTAGCATCCCTGAGTAAAAGAGAAAAACACTATGGAGAGTCACTGTTTTGGAAGTGAACACATTTTCTACCAGTATACAGAATATGATGGATTAGCTCATAAATATAAGCATATCTTCAGACACTAGAGATCAGATCTTATTATCAATTTATATATATGTTGCCAGCACCCTTCTGACAACTTTGTAGCTCAAGTCTTTGAATTTTCTTAGTTTTGAAATTATATTGTATTCTGATAAATATTGATAGAAATGACTACTGATTTTAGAATTGTAGAAATTAACTGCATACATAGAGGTATAAACCAGCATTTTCAACACTAAAACTTTTTTAAAAATTTAGTAAATTTGGCATGTTTTTTTAAAAAATCTTTTATTAAATTGTTAATGCCTATAATTTTAACTAAAACAAAAAAATTTTAAATTTATAATTTAATTAATACTATAATTTAGTGATATTTTCTTTCCACTTATATTAAAAATGAAAATATAGTATTATGTAAATAGTGGCTGAATGCCCTTTTTAAATTACTTTTTTTGGTATCCTTTTTATTCCATTTATAGAAAATTTTTAAAAAATTTTACTTCTTATATTTTAATTAATCTGAAGAATAGGAATTTTAGACCGCTAATTTACTGTGGCATTATAGAAATAAATATAAATGTAAGTACCTTGCATATGTCTAACATACTGTAGGTGCTTAATAAATATGATGTTAATCTCTTGTACTCTTTTTAATTTTTTTTAAAGATTTATTTATTTATTTGAAAGACAGAGTTACACACAGAGAGAGAAGGAGAGGCAGAGAGAGAGAGTGGTCTTCCATCCGCTGGTTCACTCTGCAAGTGGCTGCAATGGCTGGAGCTGTGCCAGTCTGAAGCCAGGAGCCAGGAGCTGCTTTTGGGTCTCCCATGTGGGTGCAGGGGTCCAAGGATTTGGGCCATTCAGAGGTGGAACAGCCGGGACTTGAACTGGGCCCATATGGGATGCTGGCAGTGCAGGTGGTGGCTTTACCTGTTACGCCACAGCGCCAGCCCCTCCTTTTAATATTTGAAGTTATTATTATATTGATGCTTACTGAGTACTATTTGAAAATATATACATTTTAATGGAGCTTAAAGCTAAAGGAGAAATTTAAGTGAAAAATCATATTGTACAAATGAGAAGTGGAGGTGTTTTTAAATTTTTATTTTACTTACATGTAAAATAATGCTATATCTTAATGATGTCAACTTTTACCATTACCAAATCATTTTTGCTTTTCTTAAAGTTACTCTTTATAATAAAAGTAATTTTTGGAATACCAGTCCTTGATGTTAAATTCCTATTTTTTTTAAAGATTTATTAATTTATTTGAAAGTCAGAGTACAGAAAGAGAAGGAGAGGCAGAGAAAGTCTTCCATCTTCTGGTTCGCTCCCCAATTGGCTGGGATGACTAGAGCTATGCCAATCCAAAGCCAGTAGCCAGGAGTTTCTTCTGGGACTCCCACACAGGTGCAGGGGCTCAAGGACTTGAGCCATATTCTACTGCTTTTTCAGGCTACAGCAGAGACCTGGATTGGAAGTGGAGCAGTCGGTACTTGAACTGGTGCCCACATGGGATGCCGGCACTGCAGGCAGCGGCTTTACCGGCTGTGCCATAGCGCCAGCCCCATACTTCTGCCTTTTAAAAAATATTTCCTTAGATGAATCAATTAGCTTTTTTAAGGCCATTCTATTATTTATAGTATTGCAAATTTGAACACATGATTGTTAAGATCTTTCTAGGCCTCTGAATACTGCTCTGACTTAGTGCTATCTAGAAAGGAAGCCTCCTCCTAGAATAGTGAGTAAAGGCCCATACAGCAGTGTGAGACTAATCATCTGTAGTTGTTTGGAACCGAACATAAAGGTTTGAAGTTGCTGAGTAGGATAAAAACATTTTGTCAGATACTAGCTACTGGCACTCTTCAGCAGTGAGGGTGTTTAAAAGATGTCAGGTATCTAAATTACTCTGTTATCCTTGTGTTCTAGAAAATAAAAGACACTCATATGGAAGATTTTTCTAAAGACAAAAAAACAAATTGGAGTTTTGTACCAAGTGGAAGAATTGAAAGTACAAGGACTGGGGAGTCTCCAGTAGATACTGCAGATTTTTCTAAAGAAAAAGATATTAATGAATTTCCACTCCATTCACTTCCTGAGGGTATTGACCAAGAAGTCTTTAAGCAGCTTCCAAGAGATATTCAAGAAGAAATCCTTTCTGGGAAATCTACAGAGAATTTTCAAGGAAAAGAAAGTCTGAGTTGTCCATTGCATGCCTCTAGAGGAGTGTTGTCTTTCTTCTCTACAAAACAAATGCGAGATACTCCCTTGAATACTAGAGATCATTTATCCAGTAGCAAAGAGGTATCCTCTTTGTGTGAACCTGGAACATCAGGCTTAAATAGCAGTAGTTCTTCTTTTCTGTCTAGCCACAAGGATTATTATGTAGATAGTAGACTGAAAGATGAAAGAACAGGTCAAGAATCTAAAGAATCTCAGGGGTTCCACTTTTCAAATACAAACCCTGCTGTATCAGTTTTTCATTCATTTCCAAATTTGCAAAGTGATCAACTATTCACTAAAAGCCACACTGCACATAGCCATAAGCAAACAATAGCAACAGGTTCTCATGATGAAAGACTTACAGAAAATAGAGAGCAAGATTCTGCTGACGAGAAAATTACTTTTCCTTCTGACATTGACCCTCAAATTTTCTATGAACTGCCAGAAGATGTACAAAAAGAACTGTTGGCTGAGTGGAGGAGAACAAAATCAGATCTGCACATTGTACATAAGTAAACATGTTAAGAAGAAAGGTCTGAAAAGCTAGAGATTAGCAGCTTTTTAAGCTGTTCTAATTGAACACTAATAGATATCCAATAATGTGGAAATCCAATGTAAAATGTTTCAGGAAGTAAATTCCAGCACAAAGCATAAAAATATAACAGAAGAAATAATGTAAAATATTCATATTATTTCCATTTTATATTGCTTTTCAATAAAAATAATATCATGGTCAGCTTTTGTGCATTTTCCTTAAATTGAGAGTAAGAGATGTATATGCCTACATACAAAAATTAGACTCCCTGTGTCATTGCTGTGCTCTGGTGAAGAACAGTCTGTTTTCTGTGAAATACAGGAAGTCGACCTGTTTGGAAACAGCCAAATAAAAAATCTGCAAACTAACCTATTAAATTGTAGCTAATTTTGACTGAAATATTATAATACCATTTAATTTAATAAGTTGACTTGTAAAATATCAAAGCAGTATATATTCCATTAATCCTTCTTTGTATACTTGGAATCTGTCACAGTACATGGAAGACAGAGGGCATTCAGTAAATATTGAATGAATGGATGATGTGGCCAGTACCTGTGTAGGCAGTTGGAGGTGAAAAGAAATGTATTTATTGTACAGAATAGTGGTAGAAGGAACTCTCCATAAAAGTAGATTGGAGGATAGATGGAATAGAAATGAGCATACGAGATAATGGAAGAAGTCCATTTCCTTCTTGCCAGTTTTTAGGGCTTAGAGGCAATGGAGGGTAATGCACACATTTACTAAATTATATTGGCTTTCTTCCATTGCTACTGACTTCAGCCTTTGCCTACTAGATTAAAAATTGGGTATAAAATCGAGGCCATTTTATAATTTGCAAAACAGAGAGGGAATATTTTCTAGAATATACTGAAGTGTTTTTCAGCACTGATATAGGGGGGCTCCTGGTCTCCAGCGTGTAATTTCTGTGATCTAAAATAAAGACTTCAAAAAGAAAGTACACAAATGTAAATAAAGACTAAACCTAAAAATACTTAAAGGAAGAAATTTCAATTTAGTTTTGGATTCCTTAGAATTTGATAATTTCCTTAGCATCAAGGAATTTTAGCAGATAGTTTGGGGTTATCAAAAATAATAACTTGGAGGTAGGTTTTTGGCTTGGTGGTTAAGGCACTGCTTAGGACACCTGCATTCCATATCAGAGTACCTGGATTTGAGTCCCAATTCTCCTGTCGCTCCCCCTCTTCGTGGAGGAACGACACAGGACCCTGCACTGTTCTTTTGTCTGCTCGGCCCTCCCCGGGTTTGCTGCTGGTTCTTCCCGGGTTGGCTACCAATCCTTCCACCTCCGTGGAAGGGCGGTTCCCCCTGCCACTTTCCCCACTTCCGCGGGGGAGCGGCACACCGCTGGCCGGCTCTCTCGGGGGCTGCTCAGGTGTTCCTTCAGATAGATGTTCCCTGGTGCATGTTGTCTCTCTCCTCCTTTATAGTCCTCTTCCACCAATCCCAACTCTGCTACCCACACGCCGAGTACGCTGCTCTCCTCCAATCAGGAGCAGGATCAGCTCCTGCAGGTCATCACTCAAGTTGGCGAGAGACAGCTGTGTAGAAGTTGTTACTCCCTTCTCAGCGCCATATTGTGGGAGAGCAGATGCATAGAATAAGTCTTAATTCCAGTAACTCAGTCTAGTCCGAGTTGCTCCCCACATTCTCCTAATTCCATTTTCCTACTAATGCATACCCTGGAGGGCAACAGGTAATGGTTGAAGGACTTGGGTCGCTACCATTCTCATGGGAGACCAGGATTGAGTTGCTTCCTCCTGGCCTTGG